CGATGAACAAATACATCATTTTTCTGGTCTGATTGTCTCTCTCCTTAATCTTCTCAATGCTTTCGCAGCCATCGATCTCAACGTTATAACTGAATCCCTGAGCGCATCGACACGACTGCTCTTCGCACACGAGTCGTGTCACGTCATGCATGTGACAGTCTTTGTCCCGAAGACAGAAACCATTAAAACCGATCACTCGTTGACACACTTGAGTGTTGTTATCATAGAGGAATCCGCGCTCACATTCGCATCGATAGTTCCAACCATTCATCTGAAGGCAATGGATGTGCTCTCCTAAACACATTCACAGCGTTATTATCATAGATATCAACTCAATGGTAACACTAATAGCTATACCTCTGCAGTGGAAGTCGTGGTGACAGTAATTGTGGTTAGAGTTAAGTGAAGCCACTCTTTGGGGCTCACATTGGCTGAGATTGTGGTCGTAATACTCATTGTGTGGACACGTCTTCGGGAAACAGAAACGATTCTCTAAGACAACAACATTTAGTGGTTTGCATTGACATCGGTTAGTGGTTTGGTTGCAAACGGATCCCAAATTGTCTTCGCATCCGTTCTGCTTATATTTGTTGAAATCACAGGACATTCCCAAAGAGCCGTCAAAGTGTTGATCACAGATCACCCCTACTATCACTTCACACACAAACACTACAATCGCTGTGTATCTCATGTTGTCATCAATGGTCTGATTGGCCCAACACTAACACAGTTGTCTGATGGTTACGGATCAGATTCCGGATCAGATCAGACCATTACGGCTTCAGTACAAGTGTTTGGATGCGATTGTATTGAATGGCTTATTGTGTGAATCCAAGTGCTATTCATATGACTGTGAGAGCAGTAATTGTGGCAAACATTGTATACAAACGCGAGAAGTGGTGGAGAGAAGTGTTGAGTGGAGTGAAGCCATTCACAGCATAACCCCTATTATTATACAACTATTAAATGCACACAAATGTTGCCAAAACTTGTTTCCAAAAAAGCGCTTTCAAAGTGTTTTCTCTACCGAAACACTGACTTTTGTTTTGGATGTGATCTCTCTTTTGATGACTATTTTATGACTAATATTGCATTCAAATGATTAAATTGTTGGACATTTGAGATGTGGTTTCATATATTCGCTGTGAAAAGCTTAAAGGGATGCCAGACATAGACAAGTCTCGTATTACACTTGTGTTGCAAATTGCAATGTTTGGGCACAAAGTTTGATGAAATGTTGTATTTAGTCTATTATGGCATAGTTTTTATAATAAAACTTTTAAAACAATTATGTAATAAGAATAAAAATTATGCTAATTTACGATAATTTTAGCAAACATGAACTATGTCAATTCAATTAATATTAATTAAAGTAATAAATGTTACAATTGGTATATCATATACCGTATATGAATATTTAGTGCAGTTGTAAATGAAGTAAATTATACTTTATTAACGAGTATTTATAAATTAAAATTTACTGTAATATTAAAAATAATAAATGAATGTAAAAATTGCAAAAGGCAACATGATCCAATAATGCTATGTTGAATATAAAGTATAGACATGAGGATACCATGTCATGATAACCATGATGAGCCATCCGGATACTAACCCGGATTAACCCTTATTTAACAGGTGATTAAACAAGAATCGATGCTTTCAATGTGTTGAACCACAATCATAGACATTGTGATAATCATTATATTAATCAATACATTAATAATCGAGTGTATAGTAAATTCAACGTATCGTTTATAAAACTTTTACAAAAGTTTTCATTTCGTAACATAAAGCAGTTGTCCAATGAATAGCAATCTATAACAAACTATGCAAACATTTATGATTGAGTGTTGTTCATCACAACAGCCCCTTATGCTAACAATAGGACATCCCTTTAGCGCACAAATAGATTGGTTTTAATTATTTTCAATTTTATTAAATTTATCAAAAAATTTCATTAAACATTGTGTAAATAGAAACCCATAAGAAATGTAATAGAATTACAATACGTTAATAACAGTGAAATCAAAAGGCTTTCAAATATACAGCCAATTATAACAATATGTAAAAATATTTGTACGGTATATAAAAAACTGTTAAAAATTAGTCATCACTTTAAAGACCACCCAATTTGACAAAATAAAATAACACTAGAGTTTCAAAATAAAATCAAGCAAATAAAACCATTGACTACATTGAAAATAGAGTATAACTCAACACTCAAACTGATAACAAACAAAATTAATAACATATTCTTGAATATACAGTCGATTCTTGATTATAAAGCGTTTGTAATTGCAATAAAAACAACATTTTTGAATATAGACTTTGAAGAGTTGGGGGAAACTATAAACGAGAATCAAATTCACTTCAATTGTGACAACTCGTAGATATAGGCGGCGAACACTTTAGTGCCGTCGATGTAATTCTTTTTGTTGATCTTCTCGTTCTGTGAGTGCGCCCCGTCGTCGGCGGAGCCCATCGGCAGCAACAGTACGCTCTTTCCGGTCGCGTTCTGGAAGGTCAGCGTCACTGGTATTGATCCGCCCTCACGGGTCAGGTCCGGCTCCACTCCAAACACTGCGTATAAAATTTTGCATTTTATTTTACTTTTAATATGATTGGTATTTGAGCCCTAAAGTGGTGGTCCATCAGACAATTCGCCGGAACCGATCATTCCTCACACCATTACTACTTCTGTTTTGCAAATTCACAATAGATTTGATAGAAATCTTAAGTCAAATCTAGAATTTAGTAATAATTTGCAAACTTTTGTGAGCTTTTTATACGTTTTGTATTAATACTGATTATTAATGCAATGAATTGGCATAAAAAGCATTTGTTTGTATTTAGAAACAATAATGGTATGAATCAAACCTTTTACTATATCATCATTTGGACGTAAAATTAAACAATTTTATCAATCATTTACGTAAAAATTCAAACCTGTTTTCATAGCTTTACGACCGGCGGTAAAGTTTGTAGCGTTGGTGTCGGCGACCCAGGGTTTGCCACCGTTAGGCATATGGACCGCCAGTTTGTTAGGACTGTTCAACTTCTTGAACTCACTCTTCAAATAGTCGATCACTATTTTACCGATCTTTTCCGGCACTTGATTCGGGACGAGTCTTATGGAGAACTTTCCCACAACTTTGCGTGGAATCACAGTCTTAGCGCCCGAACCAGAGAACGCCCCTTCAATTCCTGTCGGCAAACAAATCATCAAATAATTACTAAAACTATTTCCAAATTAAATCAATTGATGGCAAACCATGCAATGAAAGCGACGGATATCTCCATCGATGGGTCAATGTATTGACTTTATCGCAATGAATGAGCTTTTGAGTGCCCACTTCATCGCGGAATTGATTGCAATCGAACTCAATCTTATGGTAGAGACTCTCTTCCTCTTTGGTGAGGGGCGCGACGTCG